ATGTGGTGCTGGGGGATTGAACCGTGGTCCCTATGCTTTGCTAAGCTTGTTCTAAGTAGGTGCTTTAGACCACTGAGCCATCTCACCAGCCCCTATGTTTTCATAAAACACGTTTTTTTGCAACCAGAAATGACTTCTTAAATATAGAAAATACAATCACAATAACAGCAAACATGTACTTAGTATGTGCTGGGGACCTTTCTGGGCTTTCTGTACTGATTCTCTCAACCCTTCTAGTACCTCTTGAAATGTATACAGCTGCTCCTCCTGCTTCACAGATGAGAAAACCGAGACACACACAGATGAGGCAATCCAGAACATAACAATCCGAAGTCAGAGTTGACGCTGGCTTCAGTCTGTGCTTCTGACCACTGGTCCCCGTTTACCAGATGCAAATGGTCTGCAGGTTCAGTGGCAAAGACTTGTAATCCCAGCCCCTGGGGAGGCCAAGTGGAAGGGTCTGGGGTGGCGTCAGTCTGGGCAGCTGAATGAGACCTGTCTCAAAGCAGAGAAGGTCTGTCTTAGGTAGAAAAGCTGGCTGCTGGCTCCAAGGTGGTAGGGCCATGATATGGATCATTTTTATCCAGCTTTCCTAGGCATGTCTTCTCAAATTCTGAAAATACACGTTAGATAAGTAACTGCTATTCTGCTTCACTTTGTTTTGTGGTACTAGGATTGAATCCGTGACCTTCACACTGAGCTACATCGTGGACACATATGTTTTTGTTCATTTTTTAATTTTGAGACTGGGTTTCAGTAAGTTGCCAAGTTGCCTAAGCAGGCTCAAACTTAGGATCTTCCTGCTTCAGCTTCTCAGAGTTGTAGGATTATAGACCTGCATTGCCACCCCCAGCTTCGACTGTGTGTTTTTACTGCAGAAAATAAATTTTATTATACACGCTGGTTTAGAAGTCCTAGAGAAAAGCAATAAGCAAAAAAGCTGGCATTAGTAGCTGCCCTTTTTCTCTCTGGTCAGGTACTTCAGTTGCACATTGCGTTTTAAGCAAGGCTGGCTTCTGCAGGCCTACCTGGAACCCCTGGTTCTTAGTTCTGCTCTGTCAGAGCAGCTTTGGGAGTAACTCTACTCACTGGGCTCTGTAGAAGAAGTGGTTTCAAAAGAAGTTTGAAAATCCTAAAAACAATGGGAGTAAAAAAAAGACGGATACCTAATACTCTTCCTCTCCATTCAGATACCTTGCACAGTTGTAAGTTTAAGGATGCTTTCGGCATATTGCATGCTGCAGAGCCCTGCATGTAATCAGTTAAAGCATCTTGAACATTCTTAGTCTTGCTGTTTGTATTTGTTAGCACTCTTGTGGCTTCTCTACTCTGTGTCCATGCAACCTACACTGGTGTCATCTGTGGAAGGATAGGGCCATCCCCTGGGGCTGCCCTCGGTGTACCACTCCTTTAGCAAGCACATAACCTGTCCCAACCATTGTGTAAGTGAGCATCTCCCTCCTACTGGGCACTGGTGGGAGGCTTCTGGTGCAACTCTGGCTCTGGTCCTCCTGTTAGCCCTGTAGGCAGGCAAAGAAACTGAGGCACGGGTCACACAGATGGAGGGCAGGCAGTGGGGTGGGAGTACCAGGCAGCTGTGCCTTAGAGCTCCTTGGTCAGGTCAGTGTGGTACAGCCCTCTCTCCAGAAAGGTGCATGTTCAGGGCTGAGCTGGATTTGATGGTACTTCTAACTGACTGTTGGAACCCCTCAGTCTGCCTGGCCCTCCCAGTCTGCTGGGAATTGAAAGGAATGAACCCACCAAACTGCCAGATTACATTTTCTCAAAACAAATTTATTATAAACAAGGAAATTTTAAAAACACATAATTCCATTTCTTTGTGGTGAAGTTGGTTTATTAGACACTGCATTGGTTCTTTTTTGGGAGGTGCTGGAAATTGAACTCAAGACCTTAAGCTTGCCAGGCAGGCGCTTATGCCACTGAGCTATCTCCCTAGCCCTGTTACAAGTTCTTAATAAAAGTCAAGCACCAGCATCCTTCAGCAAACATTTTAGGCCAATAAAAATTGTCAGGATCTGTGCATATTACTCGCGCCCGCCCCTTTTCCTGCAGCCCCACCCTCTGCATGCCGCAGAAGCTGTCTTGTGCCTGTGGCCCAGGTGCTGCAGCTTCACCCTCCAAACCATCACAGCTTGATGTGAACCCAAGGAGGTAGGAACTCTTAGGCCAGGAAGAAGACAAGTTCACAAGGTATGTCCAGGGAAGAAAGAGGAAGAAGGTATGAAGGGAAAGAATAAACTGGGATTGGAGTGGAGCTGCAGCCTTTTCCCAAGGACTTTTAGCATTGTCCCCAGACTTTGTGAACAACCAGTGCGTTAGTGTTATGCTCTGGGTTCATGCACACATTGAAGTGTAGTGATTGCTTTTCAATTTCCTCTGAGATGTCCTTGGGGATGTAGTTGTGAACCTGCTTACAGCAACTTCAGGGTGTTTCTAAGTCGTTCATTGAATTTGTTGAGCAGATACAGCTAAATAGCTGAGGTAGACTATGAACTGTATATTAAGTGTGCGTGAACTTAATACAGGCAAGTAGTCTGTCTAGTAATAAAGGTTATTTTTTGAAAGCAGCCTCAGTTTTAGTAAACCAGTGATTACATATAAACTGAGCATTAAGCAGAGAGAAAATTGGCTTAAGGATACACGTTCTAAAAAAATTTAGATTCCAGCTTCTAAATTGGGTGAGTGCATGAGCAGCTTCAGGAGCAGTTGTAGCTAGGGTTCTGCTTACTACTCCTTGTTTGTTTTCTGTAGCACACTTGCATTAGCTTTGAGGCGAGTCAGACGCTTATCTGAGGTCTCCATGCTGACATCTGTGTACATATGACAGATTTCAGTCCTGCGTAGTTAATTTATCTGACCCGTCCAACAGGTTCCTGGGTGGAGCTACCCATGAACAGCAGCAATGGCAACGAGAATGGCAATGGGAAGAATGGGGGCCTGGAGCACGTCCCTTCCTCATCCTCCATTCACAATGGAGACATGGAGAAGATCCTTCTGGACGCACAGCATGAATCAGGACAGAGTAGCTCGAGAGGCAGCTCTCACTGTGACAGGTAAGTGACACCCTGCTGGGGTATGGCTCCCAAGGCTAATTATCCTTTCCTTGAGTCTTCACCTAACGGAATACACCTCCTGGTGGATGGCAATGCCTGTGTTCAGATTACACCGCTAGCTGACAGGCACTGATGTGCCCACTCTTCTTCCTCAGATGAAGTCATTTTTCTTATTCAGATTATATTATTTTAGATGGCTTATCAGTTTAAAAGTCAGTAGTATAAATATTAATAGAATTCACCTTTCGTGGTCATCCTGTGTCATCGTCCCTGTTTCATGGGTCACACTGTGCCTGAGTCACAGTTTCCTCTTTGAACCTCAGAGTCCCCTCTGAGTGTGAGGCTCCCAGAGGCAGGGCTCTGGTTTCCTTCTCTTCTCCACCCATCAGCAGACACTCAGTCCGTGTCATTCCTAGGAGCTGCACATTCACTCAAATAGTGTCTTAGCCTGCATACTGCAGGTCTAGAGATAATTTATGTTGAAAGCCATTGCCTTTCCTCAGGAAGTGTCCCAAACCAGCGGGTCAGTCAGTGAAGGTCACCTGGGGGAGGAGCGGGGAATTGAAGAGGGGACAAAGGACAGAAGACGCGAGAAATGGAGACAAGACAGGATTCTGATCAAGTCTCGTTTATTTAGGGGAGGAGCTGGGTATTTATAGTGGAGGCATAGGGAAATGACGTGGGCGGGTAAAAGGCGCGAGTAACTAGGCAACCGGGCTATGACAGGAAGTCCCACCTCCTGGGCATAGCAGGAGACCTATGGGAAATAGGTGGGGTAAGAACTAGGAACCTAGCTCTTCAGAGGTAGGGGAGCAGGAACCCGGAAACCCACTTGCAATAGGATTGGAGGCCTGGAGTTATTGTGCCTCCCACAAAGAAGTTCCTTTGTTTTGTTTTTCCCAAGTGCTATGGATTAAATACAGGGCCTTTGCATTGAGCTATACCCCTATTTTTTTTTTTTTTTTTTTTTTTTTTTTCATTTTGAGACAGTGTTTCGCTAAGTTGCTGAGTTACCCAGGCTGGGCTTACGCTTGTGATCCTCCGGCTTCAGTCTCCCACAGTACTGGGGCTACAGGTATGCATCACCATGCCTGATCCCTCGGGATTTTTGTTTCAGATCTTCTTTTAGTATTTGACTAAAAGGCACTGATTCTACTGAATAAGATTTGCCTATGTGACAGAATTAAAGATGTTAGAGATATATGTATAGAATGAAATCAGGTCATTAAATTACTTTTCAGTCTAAGCTTTTTGTTTTCCAGAGGGACTAGGGGTTAAGTGACACTTAAAAATTCTTAGTGTGGTTGGGTGTGGTCACACAGAACTATCATCCCTAGTAACTGGGAGACTGAACTGGGAGGACTGAAAATTTGAGGCCACTCTGGGCAACTTTGCCAGACTGTCTGAAAGTTTAAAAAAAAAACCCAAAAGCTAGGAATGCACCTCACTGGTAGAGTGCTTCTAGGTCAGCCCGCAGTATTGGGAAAACTGCTTAATGCAGTGACAACACACTGTTAGGCTGTGATCTTTGAGTTGATCTGTTAACTGATACTGAACATGGAGAAAATGGACACGCACATAAAGATTAAGGGACCACTTAAAAACAGTTACTGTGTGTGGCAACAGAATCTTCTTAATGTTTTTATGGTTTGTGAAAAATGATGCATAGAGCATGTGTAGCCCTTTGAAGGGAATAGGAAAGAGATCACTTCCTGCCCAACCTTCGAGGTTAGGAAGACAGCAAGGGACTGGGCTGTGTGACACACTGACACCCTCGCTGTCCCCACGTCATCTCTGACCTGGCCTGTGCTGCTTAGACCTGGGGAACAGCTCTTGATGTAAGCAGAACCGAGCAGATGGCTCTTTTGAGCAGCTTGCCGTCGCCTCCAGTGGCAGCCGTGTTTGTCTGTCTTCCGAGTGAAGATTTAGGTCATGGAACTCCATGAAGGATATCTCCAGTCTTCTGTCCAAGTGCTCCCACTTCAGGCTATTCTGCTGCATGCTCGTGTGTACACTCATGAGCCTGTCGTTCACATGGTCCTCTCGCGTCATTTACAGCTGCTCTTATCTGTGTGATGGAACATGAGTCCACCTTCGCAGGGTTGAGTCTAACTTAGAGGTCTGAATTCATGGCAGGAGGCGTGGCTGACTCATTTCAAATACTTTCTTAACCCTTAGCTCACCTACTTCTAGAGGAGGCCTGGAACTATGCTCAGTAATAATGCTCCCCTAGGGCTTCTGACTGAACACACTTTATGGAGAAGTCCTCAGCATTCATGTCATTTGAATTGGCGTACTGTGTTACATTTAGAGTTGTTAAGAGGTGTTTCTTATAGGTGGAAGAATTTTAGGTGGTTGGTATTTTCATCTTAAAAATTATTCCAGGAAAAAAAAAGTATTCCAGAGATTGATTTTTGTCATTGCAGTGATAACTAGAGGATAATTGTTTGATGTTTTGCTTTGTGTTCCACATAATTGTGGAAGTTTCCAACCTTGACTATCCATTAGATTAATTCAGGGAGCTTTTAAAAATACCGAGGTGGAAGCCAGGTGTGGTTGTGGTTGCTGTAATGCCAGTGCCAGTGTAATGCCGGTGGGGGCAGGAGGATTGCAAGTTCAAGTCCCACCTGGATGATTTTCTATGGCCCTCTCTCAAAAGGGTGGTGGGGTTGGTTGGGTTTTAGCCCAGGACAACCAGAAGAAACCCTAGGAAGTGCCCACGTCATCCCGAAATCTTCTTGTTTAGCTGAAGGAGAGCAGAAATGCAGGAAGGTTTTCAGGCGCCAGGTGGAGCCATGGTGGAAGCCCAGTTGCTTTCCAGGTCAGCAGGAGGCATGGGTAGCACATCAGTGGGGCTTGTGTTTCTTGGAGGGGATCTGAGCAGAGGAGTAGAGTGTGCTCAAGGGGCCTTGACCTGGGCTGGGCAGCGCAGGCCCCTAAATTGACGTCAGCCCCTTAGGAATGAGCAGAGAAAGTAAGTGGAGGGTGAAGAGACTTCCTTTTGCTGCCAGGTCCTGTGGTGTCCAACAGTTCTAGGTGCATGTGCCCTGTCTGAAGAATTGTCCAGGACAGTTGATGAGTCAGCCAGTGCTTGCTAGAGAATCAAATTTAATGCAAGATACATAGATGCGTAAGAATTGAGATGATAGGGTTGCATCGGCTGCTTGCAGAGTCAGGTGTGAAAGGGCTTTAATGCACTGGAGACTCAGGATGTCCACTCAAAGGCCTGGAGCCCACTAGAGTGTCCTGTGTGCATCCACATTGGGAAGCCAGTGGGTTGGTGATGGATCCCAGGAGATGGGTTTCAGCATTGTTTTATTTTTTGGTCTCAGGACTTTGCATTTGCCTTGTAGGCACTCTGCCACTGAGCTGTATCCCTGGCCCTCTGCATTATTTTAGATACAGCTTTGATTTAGAATACAACGAAAGATCCACTGATTTGCAGTGTTTACACAAGGAATGGTTGACAAAGCAAGAAAAGAACTCAACACGTTAGTCTATCTTGTCAAACATAGTTTGTGATGATGCGTTTTTGTCTGGTTAAGTTTTGTGTGGGAAACCTTTGTTTCCCACTTTTTTTTGGTGTCAGTCATTGGACTCATGGGCTCTGGTTTACTAGGTGAATGCTGCCCCACTGAGCTACATCCCCATCCCTGTTTGAGTTTCTGAAGATCTGAGGGTATGTTTTGTACTATCATAAAAGCTTTTATATTCAGATATGGGTATATAACTCACTCTGAAATAGCTCAGGACATGTATTTATAAGATAAATAGAATAGTCGTTCTCATAAGTTTTGAATTTCCATTCCCTTGTATGACCTAAGAACTATTAGGTACTTCAAAGAGTTTTTGTGCCTGGGTTGTATATTTGGATATTTGCTATATTAGAAATTAAACTGGGACTAGGGCTGTAGCTCAAATAGAGCGTGCCTGAGAGCCTGGATAAGTTCCAGCCCCACCCTCCTCCAAAGGAAACAAACACAAAATTTCAATCAGGCCTGCTGGCTGTAATCCTCACAGCTCAGAAGGCTAAGATAGGAGGATCACAAGTTTGAGGCGAGCCTGAGCCACTCAGCAAGTCCTTATCTCAAAAAGGGCTTAGATATAGCTCAGTGGTAGAGTGCTTGCCTGGCATATGTGAGGCCCTCTGTTCATTCCCCAGCACCACACACCAAAAAACAATTTGGAGTATTTCAAAAGTAATAAGCTCATTATGTTATAAGTAACTTTTTCAGTGAAAAATAACTATTTCTCAAAACAAAAAATAAAATTAGGATTCTTTTTTTTGGCCAGCTCAGGCTGCCTTAAGGGTGAATCTGGTGAGGCATGTGGTGCTGGGGATCAAACCACAGCCCCTTACCCCTGACTGATGTTGCTCAAGAAGGCGCTGTAGACAACTGAGCTAACCTGCCAGCCCCTCAAAAATAAAATTAACAAGAAATAGTGTCAGTGGTTTTCATTTTGCCACTCTCTTTAGTAGAGAGTTAATAGAAAATAGCGGGGCTCTCATCTGCTTTTACGTTTAGTGTGTTGTGGTATCACATGCCATCTGGCCTTTGGAGCATTCCACTGCACACTCATGGGAGTAGGACAGTGAGTATTGAAGTAGATCCTATTAGCGTTACAACAGTAGCAAGACATTCTCTTCACACTTGGAGAATTGCTGGCCACCGGTGAGTGATTTTATGATGAAAGAATGTTGAGAGAAACTTTCATAAAGTTTTGTTACTTCTATTAGAAAAGAGTAAAACAAGACAATGTGAGCCTTGTATCTTTACACGATACTTTCTTTGCAGTTTTACTGTTGTGAAGGAATTCATCAGCACTGACTCTCGTGTATTTTGTGAGAGTGCTCTGTTTCATTTGGCTGCTTACTGTGACATATAGTTTGTGTACGTGACTTTTTGAATTTGCTGCTTTTTCAAAGCCATCATTTTATAGGTTAATTTTCTAATTCCCAGTAAAGGCAGTTCACTTGATTAGAAAGATTAAAACCAGTGGTGTGCTCTTTCCTGCCTAGCCCCTCGCCGCAAGAGGACGGGCAGATCATGTTCGACGTGGAGATGCACACCAGCAGGGACCACAGCTCTCAGGTGAGTGTGTGACTCACCAGAACGGGCAGGGGGATGAGGTCCTTTGGTGTGGTTAGCAGGACTCCACTGAAGACGATCTCATTGGGTCCACGGCAAGACTTCTGTGGAGGTCTGGCGGGTTGTTGAATCACTGGTCGATGTCTGTCATTTGATCATGTGCACTGAGCTATAACTGCTTTGAAACTGTTTTAATGGGCCAGGGAGATAACTCAGTAGAATAAGTGCCTGCCTGGCAAGTGTAGGGTCCTGAGTTCAATCCCCGGTACTGCCAAAAAAGGAAACTTTTAAGTTGGTTAATTTCAGATTGTTGGATTTATATATTTATTTTATTTGCAGCACCAGGGATCAAACTCAGTACCTTGCACTTGCCAGGCAAGCACTTATTCCACTGAGCTATCTCCCTGGCCACTGTTGGAATTTATTTAAAGGAGTATAGTTTTTGTGCACTTCTTTACATCTGTGGACTGTGGGCCATTTTACTCTCTTTAAAGAGTTGGAAAGTTCTTGTTGATAATGTATCACCCCAGTATTCCAAACTAGTTTTTTGAGTTTAGTGATAGAAAATCTGAAATGAATGTCTCATTTAAGACAACAGAGTAAACAAATGCAGGTAGGGTTGGAAGTAGGTGTGAAAATTTTGGCTGTGTCTGAAATCAAAGCAGTGACTTATGCTATAGATAAAAAAATTTATCTAAATTAGCCAAATCTCTGTGAATTAGCTAAGGAATATAAATATAGGTCATTAGGAGTTGACATGATTGGGAATACAGATGACAACAATTTTGAACTCTTTACAGTGGTTTGCATTGCAAAACTTAAAAAGATGATTTGTATGTAATTGTTTATTTACTTTTTTTTTTTTTATGTTTTGGTGGTACTGGGAATCAATCTCAGGACCTTATGCTTGCCAGGCAAGCACTTATCCCACTGAGCTGTCTCCCCAGCCCCTTGTATGTAATTGTTGCTGATGATTTCAGTTATGCATGGCCAGCCCTTAACTACTGATGTGTCACATCTCCTGAAAGTGTTGCTACCGTACAAGTTGTTGAGGGCAAGAACCATTGTGTTTTTTGTTTTTTTTTTTCTTTCCTGTGCTGAGATGCTTAAAAATATAGAATAAATGTTTATATAAGTTGATCAAAACCTTTTGGAGCAGGGTGTGGTGGTGCACAACTATAATCCTAGTACTTGGGAGACTGAGGCAAGAAGATCACAAGTTCAAAGCCAATCATTACTAATAAAACTTTGTCTCAAAAATACATCACACACAGTCTGCCCCACAACTGTATGCATCAGGAAAAGAAAATCTTGTATAAATGTTTTAATACTAAATTTGAGACATCACGACATTAATACAAGTAAGCACTTTTGGCCTCTACATTAACGGGCGGGGCGCAGTGTGGCGGCTGTTAGCTTCCAGACATTAGTAAGATGAACTGGTGAGGTGTATATACATTTTTTGTGACTCTGTATATGTAGAAAGAAGAAAAAAAAAATGGTGATGATCTCTGGGTCCAGTCTTGGGTCTCTGCACTAGAAATATTTCACCCTAGAAATAGCTGTCTTCCATTTCCTCTAGACTGTGGCTCTGTTTTTCCTCTTACCTGAAATCCTGGGATCCGCATTGATGACACCAGCATACTTTGTCATATAGGGAAGCTTGTAATGGCAAGGCTGCCATATGGAAGGACAGTGACTTACAGTGACTTACTTGGGTCAGTGACTGACGTGTGTGTGCATTTGGTCACAGGCAGTAAGCTCTAATTAGAATTATGTACAGTCCTCATGACAGCAAAACACCAAGCATCCAAGAGAGAACTTTTCTTTGCTGGAGTCTTTCCTTGAAAGACATCTTCAGTCTGTATTAGCTTGTGTAAGCCAGGATGGAAATCTCTTATCAGCATTTTTGGGAATGTGTCTGCGAAGTGTTCGCTCAGTGAGAAACCCCAGGAGAAAGTTCTAAAGTCAAGTCTGCGGGAAATATTGTAGCCCTACTTCCCAGCAGTAGGCCACATTGAGTAATGTCTCTGAAAATCCCTGTAGTAATCTAGTTTGGTGGGGTTTTTTTTTTGGCAGAACTGGGGATTGAACTCAGGCCTTTGCACTTGCCAGGCAAGCGCTTATGCTACTGAGCTGTCTCCCCAGCCCCATAATCTAGTTTCTTAAACTAAATATCTCCAGGCTTTCCTAACCTTTTGCCTTGTCCCCTTCACATGTGCTTTCCCCAACACAGCAAGACCTTGCCCTGGCTGGTAGAGGAGGTATAGGAACAAGCGTCCTGATCGGAGTACTTTACATTCCAGATTCTAGGGCTGCGGGCCTCTACACTAGAATGCCAGGCTCCTAGCATTTGCGACATTCCAACGAAAAATACAAGTATTTTGTCAGATTATGGTAGTACTGCCAGTGCATTTCTTGTGTGGAAACAAATGGAAGAACACTGGCTGTGGCCAAGCAGGAGCTGAGCCTCGGGGCCAGCCAGACTTGTCAGGGCAGACCCAGTGAGTGCAGGTAAGCGCAGATGCCTAGTAAGACACAGACAGGAAATAGCAGTACTTCTCTGAACTTTCGAAAAACCCTTTTCCCGCTTTTTTACCTGAAGAAATAATTTAAAATGTTATTTTATTTATTTATTTTTTGGCAGAACTGGGGATTGAACTCAGGCCCTTGTGCTTGCCAGGCAAGCGCTTACTCTACTGAGCCATCTCCCTGGCCCCTAATTTAAAATTTTAAAGAAGAAGTGAATTTTTTTCATAGCAATGAGAAAAACCTTTAGGGTTAAGAAATAGAAACAGTTGACAAAAGACTCATTGTACTTTATCTTCTGAGACATTTTCATATGTGTCTGTGAAAAACAGGACAATTTCAAGGTTTTCAGGTGGGAGCAAGGACAGGCAGTAGCATTTAGCCAGATAGGTGCTGTGTTAAATTTATTTTAAAAAAACGCTTCTCACTTGTTTGTTCTCAGTCCAGTGAGAGAGGTGATGTTATCCTCATGGACAAATGGGGAAAATGGGGCTGTGTTCTAACTTAGTTACCCAGGTGACAGGGGAATGTTAGGGCTGGGATTGAAGGTCTGTGGCCCAGACCCTTCTCCTGGAATAAGCTGCCAGGTAGACTTGCATTCTCAACCCAGGCACGTGAATGGGCCAGAGCCACAGCGGTCTGGTGCTTGTGGTGTGGGGGTCACGCAGACTAGAGCCGTGGTCTGGAAGAGTCTCCATTCGTAGTGAGAAACAGACTGGAACATCCTAGAGACAGAGTTGCATTGTGATTTGAGGCTGGGGGGGGGGGGCACTGAATGGTGATCCAGGCTGGACTTAGCCTCCTTCTCCTGTCCTGTAAAACTGGCTTCTACGTGCTTGGATCCCTGTGTGCCAAGAGAACCCCTGTGGCCAGCAGGGCAAAGCTGAGGTGGGGAGGTGCAGGGCTCCTGCACTGGAGTGGCCTGGGGTCTCCTCTGCAGAGACGCGGAGAGAAGGCTGCTGTTCTGGTCAAAGCAGGAAGCACGTGTAATCCGATTAACAGCTGGAAGGTGATCTAAAAGCTGAAAGTAGCAAATTTAGGATTAAGGAAATTTTAATTAAAAGAAGATTAAGTATAAGATTAAAAGGAAACAACTATGGTGGAGGAATGGAGCTCACCACTCCTATCTGAACATGAAAATAGACTTGGAGTTGTGGTGTTTGTTTTTTTTTTTTTTTAAAACAATCAAAAGATAACTTCACTCAGCTGAGAAAATCGTACCAGCTTTAAAAAAAATTGAGAGCATAAAGTCTTACTACATGTGCATCATGTTGGAAAGTATGAAATACTAACTTGTGGAAAAATGGAAGCTTGAGTCTGTGAGCTGCGAGGGGGGAAGTGGAGGCAAAGGAGGGAGCCGTCCAGGTGACCCGGGGGGTTGGCTGCGGTTCAGAGTGCGCAGTGTGTGAGGTGAGAGGAGTCACCATGGATTTAGGAGGATTCACCGGGGCTATGAAAGAGCAGCGTCCCTGATGCTGAGAGCTCTTGATGCTGTGGGAAACCTGGGTCCTGAAGGCTGCCCTGTGTCTTGCCATGGGGTTTGCCAAGTTCAGCACAACTAGATGAGCACAGGGCTGCCCACTGCTCTGCTTCTGGTGGGAGGCACTGCGTGTGTAGAGCGGGTCGCATGCGACCTCCGTGGACAGCAGTGTTGCTAAATCTTGCGAATGTGTGAGGCACCTGCCGGGAAGGGCAAGAGCTCAGACCAGAGAGCGGGTCTTGCTCAGAGCCAGATGGGACACTTCTCAGCTTTGACATACCTCAGGAGTGGGGCAAAGCCTCACGTTCCTTCAGCGCTCATGCTCAGGGCTGTATGAAATGTGAATGCAGTTAGTTTTAGGAATTTCTCATTCCCCTTGAGTTCTAGTAAACAAGGAAGTTTTGGAAATCTTAATTATTTTTGGCCTAAAGATTTAAATTTTTTATTAGTAATAAAATGTTAAATTCTCAATCACTTTGTAGAAAGTTATTCCAAAAAACTTTTGCCTGATGTAGTTTTGAAATCTTAGGAAATGTTTAGGTAATGATTCATCTAAAACATTTTTTTCTGTAATGTAAGAACCAGTGCTTACATGGGGGCATTACAAACAGTTTGTCTGGGTTTGAAAATTGGCCCTATTGTTTGCTAGTGTTTAGCTGAAGGCTGTGTGTCAGTTTCCTTAACTGTAAAACGGAGTTTTAACAGTTTGAGCTTTCGTAGGGTTGGCGGTCAAAGTTAATGTTTGCCTGAGCACTCACAGTACTATTATTTACTTCCTTATCACAGCTCCCAGTTATTTTTATTTTTACTATTCCTTATTGATATGTTTTATTTTTCTTAGTTATGAAACATTAAAATGTTGGGCCTACCAGATGGCTCAGCGGATCAAAGCGCCTCCTTAGGCAGGCAGAGGGACCAGGGTTAGATCCCCCACATGCCGTACTGGCCCCACCCTGAGGTGTGCTGAGACAGCGGCTGGGCATGGTGGCACATGCTTGTAATCCTGGTGCTTGAGAAGCTAAAAACAGGAGGATCACTACAATCTGTGTAGGGAGACCCTGTAGACCCTCTACTAAATACAAAACAATAATAATAATAATAATGTATACAAAAATAAGGTGACTAACGGGCTGGACCTCCACATGACCATTATCGGGACTCAACAAATACCAGAATGTTCTGTCCTTACCATCATAGCCCCATGCCACTTTTCAAGTCTGGTCAGGCATAACAGTGGTCCAGCTCACTTGAGTTCTTTTCAAGGTATAGTACTCAGCACTGTTAGATCATTTTGTCAGCCTTTTTCTTTCAACAAGTGGCCTGTTTGTTACATAGCAACTACTGGTATACAATCTTAGGACTTTATTTTCTCTCCACGTTTGCCTGTACAATAGAAGGAATCGGTTCTCCCCTCAAGTGTGAATTTCTCTTTACAGTCAGAAGAAGAAACTGTAGAAGGAGAGAAGGAAGAGGCTTCAAAGAAAAGTGCAGATTGGGTATCAGACTGGTCTAGCAGACCTGAAAACATTCCACCCAAGTAAGTGCTTCCTGTGTCATCCAGGGCTGCTGAACTCTAAAAACCTGGTGCCCAGGGCTAGGGATCCTTGGGGTCCCCAGCCAGTGTTTGTACCCTCTCCCACAGGGAGTTCCACTTCAGACACCCAAAGCGCTCCGTGTCTCTGAGCATGAGGAAAAGTGGAGCCATGAAGAAAGGTGGAATTTTCTCCGCAGAGTTTCTGAAGGTGTTTATCCCATCTCTCTTCCTCTCCCACGTTTTGGCCTTAGGGCTAGGGTAAGTACTGCTGCACTCCTACCGTGTTTTCCACGCACTTCGTTCATAGTTTCTTTCAGATGTAAGAAATATATGTGAAAGTGGTCTGCATTGCTTTATTTTTAATAGTGCTTTGCCTTGTTTGTTGCAAATAAGGTGAACTTTAGACAAATTAAGTTTGACACACAGCTGGTCTACTAATTGGCAGGGTTAAGGATAGATTATTTTTTCAGTATTAGGGAATGAATCCAGAGCCTTTGCATGAGCCACATATCCAGCCCTTTGGTAAACTTTGTTTTTCTGGTTTGAGACAGGGTCTCGCTAATCTGTGGAGGTGGCCAGGCTGGGCTGGAACTCAGTGCTGCCTCAGCCTCCCAGGGTGCTATGATAAGCACACCCCACACGCCCAGCTAGTTTCAGTGATAATAGGAATTTGTCTTGAAACTAAGATATTCGTAGTAATGCCCCAGTAATGATTTTTAAGTGATTCTCCAATGACTCACCTTTCTTTTTTGAGTTTTGTTGTATAGAATGTAGCAAATCTTGAATAAGTTAAAAAAAATTAATATTCAGCATGTAAATTTTGGGGCTAATGTTAAATGCCTTTTAAAAAATTGTTCAGGTTTTTGTTTAATATCAGGTTCATATTTACCTATAATATGTTAATTTTTCAGGCTCATCTTAAATTTATTGCTTTTTCCCTTGATTGGCATTACTGAGGGACTACACTTGTGAAAGATTCTAGAAATAGAGCAGCTGTTAATTTTCCTTAGCAGTATTGGTTGCACTCACCCGTATGCGCTTGTGGGCATTTTCTCTGTGTGGTCACAGAGAGGGCTCAGCCCTCGTCTCCACGCCTGGTCCCATGCATGCGCCCCTGCATGCCCTCCGTCCCTGCTGTGATCTGCTTCTGTGCCGTGGGCAGGTGGTGCAGGACTCGCTTTCGTGAAGGTTTGCTTTGCTGTGTTTTGTGCTAAGTGTAACTTGCTGTGGTTGAATGGAAAGCAGGTCTGTTGCTTTATCGCAGTGGGGATGGAGCTAGTTACCGCCATAGCTTCCCCTCACTGATGCTGTTGAAGGGCTCAAGCGCTTGCTTGACTAGAGCAGTCATACCAGGCCCCTGACCTCGAAGAGTTAGTAGCAGCTGTCCTAAAAGCACTGGCAGCTTCTTGGATTTTTCTTTCTTTCTTCCTGTACTGAGCACCCAAGTAATCTATATTTCTGAAATAATAGTGGAGCTTTCTTTGCTTTTTTTTTTTTTTTTTTTTTAATGTATTTGGTTGTTGCAGGGTCTTACTATGCAGCTCAGACTCATGGTGATCCTCTTGTTTTCATCCTCCCCGGTGCTGGGATTACAGGCATGCGCCACTACGCCCCAGACTCTGGCTGGTTTAGACCACCCTGGTGTGGGGCTGCCACAGCATGTGGTGCCAGGGACCGAACAACATCCCTGCACTTGCCTAAGCAGACACTTAGTCCACTGATCTATCTCACCCGCCCGTACAGTAGAGCTTTCTGATTGCCACGATCAGGATTGTCTCTAGGGGTGGCCCTCTACAGGAGGGGCCTGTTCTCTCTGGCTCGTGTCTTCTTGGCACTGTTCTTGCGCTGTCCAGAGGAAGGCCATGTGGCCACAGTGGCTAGGTCTTCAAAAGAAGGGGGCGGCTGGGGAGATAGCTCAGTAGAGTAAGTGCCTGCCTGGCAAGCGCAAGCCCAAATTCAATCCCTGGTACCACAAAAAAAAAAACAGGGAAAGGGAGTGAGGCATATGGCAGAGCACTTCTTCTTAGTGGGTATGAAGCCCTAGTTTGGTCCCCAGCACCATCCAAGCTTCGTCAGTGAAGCAGTAGTCATTTCAAGGTGTTTGGAGCGGTGCACACACACCGCTAGGGCTTTTTCCCTGGGTTTTTTTCATGGAGGACCAGCCTGGGGATGAGCTGCTGAGGAGAGATGAACTGCGACGCACTCTGCTTGCTTCCTTTCAGCATCTACATTGGAAAACGACTGAGCACGCCTTCTGCCAGCACCTACTGAGGAAGGGAGCACTGCTGGAGACACACGTGGCCTGTGAAGTGGTGTATTGTCATATAGTCTATCTGAACTTGAGACCATCGTAAGCATGACCCAACCTACCACCCCGTTTTTACAAAACCAATCCTGGTAACTCTCCGATCAGTATTTTATTCAAACTCTGACGAGGCATTTTACTAACCTTATTCCCTTTTTGGCCTGTAAGACATTTTAGAATTTCCTAACAGTTTACTGTTGTTTAGAAATTTGCAAGGGCTTCTTTTCCTCGACCGCCACCAGCAGATTATAATTTTGTCAGCAATGCTGTCATTTCTTGTCAGCACCATGAGAATTAGACCTGTGTCATCCGTGGCAGAAATTTACTCCAGCAGTGAAGCTACCTTCTCTCTCAAGACAAGATCAGGTTAGCAAAGCTTTGTTTTCCAGTACAAAGACAAGTTTCTCTGAGCTTGAATTTAGAGTTATTAACAAGAAAAAACAAAAAACAGAAGACAAGAAAAAATATCCTCGGCAATAAAAAATTATTTTAAACCAGCTTTGGAGCCACTTTTTTCCTAAGCCTCCTGCTAGCGCCTTTGAATTCATAGGAGGCGGGCTGTATAAGCGGTAGGTAGGACACAGAGGAAGAGCTAACCTACACAGCCGACTTTAGTAGTAGTGTGTTGTAGTGCTGTCTTTTCTATGGTACAGAATCTTTATTTCTGATAAGGAACGTCTCAGGCCTAGACATATATGAAATTGCTTTTCAGATTTTTGTGTGTGTTTGGTATTTCCATGTGTTAGCTGCATGTGAAATTTTCATGCCTCTTCTTTTTTTTTCCCCTTGATTTCTTTTATTCCTATAAGAAAAGATTTTGGAACAAGTCCAATTTCTGGTGTTAATCCAGGCTTCTTGTTTTAGGAAGCTTCAAATATACTCTGAAGCCTTTGAACTCTGAAGAAAGTCACTTCAGAGTTATTCCAAGCACTTGTGCAACTCTGAAAAACACCTCCGGGTGGTGGGAACAGGTGACTCAGAGTTCAGAACCGTTGCCGCTTGCGTCCCCGCGGCTCTGCTCAGGGCTCAGTGTGCAGTCTTCCCGCAGCAGCCCTGTGATGCCGCAGGCCCTGGGGCTTTCATGTAGCTGTCTTTCGGTTACGTCCCACTCCTGACGTTCCGGAACACTCAGCAGATTCCTTCAGTGACATACCTTTTTGTTTGTTTCTAAAATGTGAAGCTTTAGGACCAAATTGTTAGAAAGCATCAGAATCATGGATTATTTTGAGTAAGTTTCGGTGGATTTCAGAACATCCAGCATGACTCTGAAAGATACTACTATATGTTTTATATATAAATAATTACTGTTTATGATGTAGACCTTGCTATCGACTATTTAGAGAAGCACTGTTAATCTTAAAGCTAGTAATCTATAAAGTGCATCAGGTTAACTTGAATAAAACACTATTATAACAGCTGGGGTTGTCAGTTGGCAGAACCTAGCTCTTCTCTCTCATGTCAAGGTTTATGAAACTGCCGTGGTACAGTGGAAAATAACACAGATTAAATAAAAGAACATAGCTGGCTGTCTTTAAGAATGATGATATATCCAAAACAGTTTGCTCATTTTCTTTTATTTTTATTTCTAGAATTTGAGGTCTAAGTAATTGTAGATATCTTATTATACTTTGTTTCTGTCTTACTCCTAAATCTGGTAACACTTGATTTGTCTTCTGTTTATGTCAAGTGTTCACATTGGAATTTCTTTGGAAAGAAAGTAAACCCACTCACTGTCTTTTGAAAAGTCTGGATAAAATTGGGAAGGCTGGTAAAGCCAAGAGCACCGGAGAGCTATGCTGAGAAGCTATAATACACAATTTCTATTACAATTGCTATTCTGGGAGGAGAGAGTGAAATTATACTTTAAGTAAAAGCAACTTTTTATAGGCAGTACATTGTATTCTTCTAAATTCAGTAGCAGTTTTGATTAGTAGTGCCATTGACCTTTGGGTATTTCGTGATTTTTTTTTTCCAACATGGAAAACTAATTTACTTTTGCCCTACTTCTTAAAATATCTATAAAATTATAGAATGTTGGCTAAACGTAAATATATCACCACATTAGAATTTATTGTAAGGTGGGCTCATACAGTGTTTATTGATAGGCCTAACATATGCACCAGATGTTTACTCTGTGCCGAGACTTTTGTTACATGAAAGAGATTGGAAAGGCCATCAGACAGTGAACAGCTGAAAATCCAAGATTCATGTTTAAAAAGCTTTACACCTGTTTACAATTTGAGGATGAAAAGACAGGCTCTTTTCTGGTGTCTGATGAGAACTGGCTTAAGGTGTTCATATGTAAGACCCAGAGCAAAATGCCCTGCCTTGCTGGGTGACGACTACAACGTGTCACGCTGATCGAATACAGACATTGACTACAAAGGAAGATGGAAGATTCAGCCAGTGCGGTGAATTTCTAAATGAATCAGTTGTTAAAATTATTGGAATTAACTGAGCCAAAGTGATTATGCATTCTTCATCTATTCAGTTAGCATTTTGTATCATTATATACAGTTTACAATACATGTATACCTTGTAGCTATAAACATTTTGTGCCATTAAAGCTCTCACAAAACTTTCTGTATGGTATTATCATTTTTCTGTCCTGTATGTTGTCAGGGAGTTTAGGAGGAGGCAAGCCTTCTGTATTACATACAGCTTCCCTCACTTGAGCCCCTGAAGGGGAACTGAGGTGCCTGCACCCAGGGCCCATCATTATGCCGCTGTGCACAGGTGCTAAGCACCCCTCGTCAGGTGGCAACAAGGCGTCACCTATAGAGGAGAGGTTGCAGTGAAAGGCAGCAGGTGTCCAGCAAGTGTGGGCCCTGGAGCGGTAGACGTAGCCCAGTGTGCCCCCCAGTACTAAAATCACACACACACACACACACACACACACACACACCCCTACCTGTAGGTTCCACATCTGTGAATTCAATAAATGTAGTTTGGAAATGGCAAAAAAATTTTGCATCTGCCCAAAAGAGGCATTTGAGGGGGAAGTTATTCCGTGATGCAGCCGCATAACTACTCCTGTGGCTCTTGCACTGGATGGTGTTTTAGGTAGAGATGATTTAAAGTATATGTAGGCATCATACTGTTTTAGATGAGGACTTGAGCATTTGCAAACGTTGGTATGGGGGGACAGGTTCAGCCCTCTGGGGAGATTGGAGATGGCTGGACTTTCCGGAGGCTCTGTCTAATGTGACCCTTGCTGGGTCGCTCTGAGAGCTTCCCGCAGACTCCTTGGCTGTCCTTTGCTCTGACATCCTTTTGTGTCCCCCCCTTCTCCATTGTCTTGAGAGTTAAAGTGGCTTTAGGGCTGCCTTCTCCTCCCTATGCCACCCTCTGTAGTCACCTGGTGGTACTGTGTACCTCAGCCTGACCCCCATGGTATGCCACAATTAACATGGTGCATGTTGCGTGGTGCACACTAAACATACATACTGGATTTGAACATAGACATCAGAAAGGACGACTCTGAGGCCATTGTGTAAAATAGCACCAAGATTTTGAAATAATAGAAGAGGAAATTGAGAATCATGCAGATGGGTGAGAGGTCATGGGAGCCAGAAATCAGGTGTTTAAATTCTGGATGAACTCACAGCCTTTTTTCTCCAGAAGGTGCCTTTGTATGCCATCTGTCACCTGGGAAAAGACAAGACTGTCTTCTGTGGGTCCAGCCAGGGGTAGGTGTGTGCCGGGTGTGCCCCAGGCCCAGGGTTCCGTTACCAGCACCTCAAAAAACAGAAATATTGAACACGGGACCAGGAGAAAGTGTTTCTATGAGTAGGCACATCACGTGACCTGAGTGGGCTGACCGGTTATGGGCGTGGGTGTTGGAACTGAAACGGCCTACAGAGAATAGCAGGGAGAGTTAGAAGCTGTTTCGCACCGTCATCCTGGTGAGTTACCCTTGCTGCCGCTTGAGAGGAAGTGCCCTGAGGACTTTGTGTCAAGCTCCTTGGTGGTAGTCCATCCAGGAATCCATCTGTCCATCACCAGCAGTCAGGTGGGCTGATGGCAGAGGCAGGAATTAACACCCAGCGCTGAGGAGCTCCTCCCTCTCTTGCAGTCCTAAGTGGCGCCAGCCAGATGCCATATGTCAGGCTTTTTTGAAACTAATGAAACCATTGATGCCCAGGAAATCATAACTTGTGACGCAGTGTTCTCGTAGGCAGTACTGCATATTCTTGGGAATTCTTGTCTGTGGTGGTGCCTGTGGCCCCAGCAAGCGACAGGACCCACCTTGGCAGCACGGCCTGCATGGTTTATTTTGTTCTGTGTATTTGGCAACACAAGCAGCCCTCGAGAGAGAGATGGGTTTTAGTCCTCACAGTATCCATTTGGGCGTTGCTGGCTTCAGCATTATGAATGCAGTCAGAAAGAGAAATCCATATGCATTTCAACTATTTATGAAAGTCAATTTTCATATCGTCTGTGCTGTTGGAAGTGCTACCGTGTTCCTGCCAGAGTCTATTTTTGGTAGTGTGTCAGCGTGAGAAGAGCATGACACTTGTGCGGGCTTCCTGACCCCTGGTGTGGAGCTTCAGGTGGTAACAAACCATCGCTTCGAGGGAGGAGGAGGAGAAGGTAAAGGAGATAAACCAGGAGGGGCTGCACACAGCCAGACCCGAGTGCCAGCATTTCTGCTCTCTTCCTCGTGATGCCACCGGTTTTAGGCTGCTGCTCACGGGAAAGGCCAGACGGTTCTCATCCAAATGAACCCATTTGCTCTCAGCAGCCCTGAATTCTGCATCTGGCTGGCAGCCCGGAGCTCAGAGGGGACGAAGGTCCTCGGAGAAGCCCAGCCCTCCCTAGCTGCTAACTCAGCTGCTGTCTTTCCCTGTGGGGAAAGAAGTCACAGTTAAAACAGTGCAGTGAGCGTGATCCTAAAGGAGCCTCCACTCTGAATCCTGCTTGTTTTCCACGCTTTGCTTTCACCTTGTGGTTCCTCATTGCAGTGTGAGGGGGTGTGAATTGTAAAGATGGCCCCGGGAGCTCTTGCTGCCCCACTTTTATCTGGTGGCCCCCCAAGAGCCTAGGCATTCCAGGGGGGCTTTGGAAGGAGACACTTGTGGGGTGCGGCTGCTGAGGTCAACTCAAGTGAGGTGGTGTGGCCAGAGGTCTCTCTGCTCCTCATGCTTCCCATCGGCTCTGCTTCCTGGAAGGGCAGCTTTTCCTCTGCTGGGCTGCCCTGCCCTGGAGCAAAGGGCTGTGTCTACCGTGTGCTGCCGTAAGAGTGACCAAGACACTGCTGTCTCCTCCAGCATTTCTCCTCGCTGGCCCCCTGTGGCCTGGTCTGAGCCCGCGAGGGCCTCGTGAGGACCCTGAGAGGTCTGGCATATGGTGGCGACCTACACAGGTACCAGTCTGATCAGGCAGTGCCTGATCTGCCAGGTTTTGGAAAGGCCGTGAGGGAAGCTAGAAGCAGACGTGAAGTCAGACATCAGTGCACTGCTGGGGCCATGCACGCTGGTTTCTGTTCTGTCACCCCCGGGGTTGACCCCAAGGCCTGGCATGTGTCAGGCAAGCATCCAACAGCCGTGGAGAGAGCAAGGCCTGAGGCAGCCTGAGCAGCCCTGACCTGGCCCCTCCTTGCAAGCTGTTCTTTTTCGTTTGTTTCAGTCCACATTCATTGGACATTGATAGCATCCACTGTGGGCAGGCGCTGACCGCATCCAAACACATGTGGACTCTGTTCTCATCCCCTCCTCCTCCATCACAAGATGCACTCCCGTTTACCAGAGGCCTCTTTCGTTTCCCATTTTATCTTCAGCTTTTTCTTTTTCTTTCTTTCT